TCTAGGTAAAAACTTCCAAACTCCATAAAGGTTTTACGTTCATGAAACCACAAATGATATTCCTCTAATAACGGTTCTTACTGAAAACCTTAATAAAGGATGGAAAATAAGTCAGGACAAGAATCGAGCTTCACTATTTCGTAGGACAACCCTAACAATAGAGATATGGCTAGTGGATAGTAAGAATTGGAGACACACTACTACATTTAGAGACCTTTTGTAATAGTCAAATTCGTTACTATTGGTCCAAAAGTCTGTTACATTCTTCCAAATGAAACAATTTTGTGTCATTGCGTTCGCTCGCGTTGCCTTTTCTCTATTGTAACAGTATGTAACAAATTTTTAATCCAATGTAACACTCCTATGAATGAAACAAAAGTGTTATCACAAACGTTACCATAGATAGGAGGACAAATGTAACATTTTATAACTTGCTCAAATGTAACACTTTTGAAACATGATGCAACAAATGCACCATTCATTATCTAATGTAACACCTACTATATGTACAGTATACTCACATTGATTTGCACGAGAATAATATAAAGTGCATAAAAATCAATAAATTCATGTGTCTTGTACTGGGCCCGGCTTGAGACGGGATGTGGGCGGGACTGGCTTTTTGGGCTGCAGGCCTGGTACCGGCCCGGGTACTTTAAAAGGCTTTTAAAGGCTCGGGTCAGGTACATTTTTTTTAAAGGCTTTTCAAATTAATTCCTACCCCCCACCCCCCCCAAACCCTCCCAAACCACCCAACCGCACCCACCTAGCCGAAGACCAAAGCCAAAAATAAAAAAATTAAAAAAAAAAAAAAACGGCCTGGGCCCCGGTCCCCCTTTCCCTATCCCATAGCCCGCCCCCTACCCCCCGGGTCGGGCCCCAGTCCCGGCCCCAACCGGCCGGTCCGGGTAAGGCCTGCACAGTGCCGGGCCGGGTCGACCCATCCCAGTCCAACCCTAGTCTATATATAGAAAAGATTTATAAAGATCTTATTTAAAATATACTTCGTATTATACACCTGAATATGCTATAAAGTCTAATGACATTAACTTGATTAGTTATACAACCATATAAAAAATGCAGCCAATAAACTAAAAAGCAATTGTCTAGATACAAAACTATAAAAAAATATCCCTCAAGTCTTTATAATAAAACTATCCACAAAGCATTAAAATATGGCGAAATTCATGTAAATAATCCATACTTCTTAACATTCTACAATAATATTCCGTACTTCACAAATTGATAGAAATAATCCAAACCTTTAAACCACTTCACAAAAATGGATGAAATAAAGTAAACGGAAGTAACCTTCCGTTATAATCTGATCCTCATCGCTGCTACTTCTCTTCACAACACCATATTTTCTTCTTCTTCTTCCAAATCTATCAGTCTTCTCCTCTCATTATCATCTTCTACTCTACATTTTTCAGCACTTCACCAGATTACAAAATCGTTTATCAGATTCATCGGATTATTTTCTATTAAATGCCTGCCCCTATTTTCTAGTTTGTCTTGCAAACCCTATACCCAGATATATTTTTCTCTACAAAATCATGAGTTTCTGTAATTCTAAAGAAGTGAGTTCAACATCCAGCCCATCATCAAAATACAAACCGAAATTAGCTGTGAAATGCGAACATGATGTCGTTTCCCCTTTGAGTTACTTCTGGAGCAAACAGGGGAAAGAAATTTTATGGTTGTCCTTTATGGCAGGTTTGATTTGTATAAAATTAATCACAATTTTAATTTGTTAGGGCTTGAAAGTCATGTTATGTTTTTGTATTTGCAGAGTGACCATTGTAATTTCTTTTTATGGGAGCATGATGCGAAGAAGATGGAGAATGCTATGCCAATGGATGCTGAAAAAAGCACAATTTTGAAAGAGATTGAACGAAAAGCTTAAAGAGGAGTTGGACAAAATGAAAATTGAGAACAAAATGCTGCTGGAAAAAATTTGTAAACTTAGAATGAAGAAGAAGTTTTTAGAATTTGAAGGTAGAAGGGCGTCAAGGGCAGAAAAAATTGCTATGAGGATTGCTGTTTTATCATGTTTTTTCATTGCTATTGTACTGTCCATTTTGGTTGGTAGGATGTGAGAATAGTATCAATGTGTTCTGTTTTTTTTTTTGTGAATGGACAGTATGCTTACAATTGCCATGAACAAATGTAGTTAGTTTTTAAAAATCTTTCATTACTTGAAGTGAAAAGTTAAAGTTGTAGGAAGATGAGAATACTCCTTGTTTAATCTATGTGTGGCAGCCCTTATGTGTAATCTACAAGTAGTACCTTTTGGCCATTTTTTGTATAATTATTATTGTAATCTTGTTGTATTTTTGTTCTATATGAGTTCTGTGGCAGCTAAAGATTGGAATTGTTATTGTGAAACATGTAAAGTTGTTGTATAACCTTTTTTAGTTATTAAAATTGTCCAGCTCTTAAAAAGCTCACTTTTTAGTTGTTTTCTTTGCATTAACTCAAAGATTTAAGCTTTGGTTGGTACCAAAGACCACTTACTCACTGCTGGAGTTTGCTATTTCATACTTCATAATATATTTGGGGTATTACACTCAAACCACAAAATTCATTTATTAGAGCACAAAGCTGCAGGATTGTGAAATGTGGTGAATAAGTCTGATGTAATCTGTTTTTGCATCAGACTATGCTTGCTGTTTTGAATCGATCATCACCACCTGATTATTCTCAAGTCATCTACACTAGATTAATTGACAAAAGTATCAACACCTACAATCTTAACAAACTCAGTAGAGCACAAATGCAATGTTAAAACCTACCATACCATTAATAGAGGTGATCTTTTGAGGATGAAAATAAACTAACCACACAAATAACATAGAATAATACACAAGTAAGACAGAAGAAGAAAAAATAAAACAACCACACTTATGAAACAACCACACTAATAACATATATTTCTGAATTCAATATAATAATGATAATATAGAACAATACACATGTAAGAGTGTAAGACAGAATAAGAAAAATGATATAACCACATTAATGAAAATAAAAGCACACAAACTGAAATACAGAAATCATCCAATAACACAATAATAACAACATAAATATTCAACCAGGATTCATCAAAAATACATAAACCAAAATGAAGCAAAATATTATCCAAACTCTCTTGAAAGTACATGATTCAGAATATCATAAAAGTACATTCAAACTATGTTACAATCATGAAAAGTAATTGATAAAATTGCATAAGTAGAAGTCAAGATTGTCTTCATCTTCATGGAAAGTTAAACCAACAATGCCTTCATCTCCCAGATGCATTTATGGAAGCTTGCATGTTTTCTTGTCCTCTTGATGTAGATGAATGAATCACAGGGAAGGGCATCTGAGACACGTTTATAGGATTAGTCATTGTTTGCAAAAAAAAAACTTTAGCAGTGAGTGTTAAAAATATAAATAATTTGATACAAAAGTATTGTACTATGTCACATACATTGATGTACTGGTTTCCATCTGTAGAGTTAAAATATATGCCAAATCCAGCTGGAATCTGCATGTGAGAAGTTATAGAGTTAAATGTTATTTGAAAAAATTGATTTAAAAATAACTAACTTACATTTGATCTCCCTCTTCCCTTGTTTCTGCCTTCAAGTGTTTGTCCTCCTCTTCCCCTTCTGATCCTATTCCCACCCCTACCTCTATTTGAAGGTTGAGCCACTACTGAATGGTGATATGTACTTGAAACTTGCTCATCAACATCATTCCTTCTTGTCCTACCTCCAGGCCTCTTAGTAGCAGGTTCTGGATGTTGTTGAAGGACTTGTTTGCACTTTTTTTTGTGTGACCCTTTAAGTTACAAATACTGCAATGCATCTCCCTCCATGCCTAGTTAGCTTTCCAGGTTTTTTCGGATCCTCTTTTGATTGGAGGGGGTTCAAGTAGGATTTTGGATGTTGGCCAATACTTTTCACCCTCTAATGGAGCAATCATCCCACTGTAACTATTGAGGTATGCTTCTTTCTTGTAAAAAGGAATGATAAAGTCTTTAGCTTTCTTTCTCAAAAATAATATGCAGGATATTGTTTTCTTCAGCTTAAACAAATCCATGCCTACAAAGTATTAATCTCGCTTAAATTAATGTGATTTAAGATAATTTGATCCTTTAATTAAGAAGATATTTAAACTAGTGAACACTAACAACTCATATTAACCAACACAAAGGCTTATATATTACACAAATAATACTTCTGGAAAAGTAAAGTCATCACAACAACTTTATTAACCATTAACAAAGATGTTAACTAATTTTGCAGCTTGTAAGAAATACATTTTTTTTGGATAAACAATAAAATATCTTGTGTTACAAAAAATATTAACTTACATAAAAACCTTTCTAAGATAGTATTCTTTATATAACTGATCCCCCAATGGCCCCATCCTTTGTAGAGCAAACTTTTCAAAGAACAAACTTCTCAAAGTTTGCCCTGCCCTCCCCTCAAATCCCTCAATCGAGACATAATACTCTTCCTTAAAGACAAGCATAATGCAATGACTACAAATATTGATGACTATATATTGATGACCGTCCTTCTCTGGACTATGTAGAAGTGCAAAACAGTGCAATAGAATAACTTCTGGTGATGCTTTGTCCATTAATTTTGCTGGTAAGAAATACATTTATACACACTACTGGAATAATGCTTAATTGCTGCGGTTGTTTTGGAGTAATTGCTGCGGTTTATAACCGCAACAATTGGAGGAGCAGCAAAATGAGAATTTAGTTATTTGCTGCGGTTGCGAACCGCAGCAAATAGACAATTTTAATTTTTTTGGGAGTACTTTTTGCGGCGGTTGTTAAAGGACCGCAGCAAATACCACGAACCAAATTTAAAATATTTCCACCCATTTATCTAATCGTATATATATAATACGAACCCCTTCCGCCGTCCACTTTCTCATCATATCTCCAAATGGACAAGAAACATGTTCTCCACCAACAGAATACCTTTTTAATAAATCATCACCAAAGTCACTTATAAAGTATCTCAAAAATATTATTCTTGTCCAATACAACAAAAATTTAATCTGAATACATACTTTATGAATAGAACGGAGTAAAGAGTTTACAAATTTTAATTGTAGAATACAATTCAATCTTAGAATATGCCTATTTGTTAGCTGCTTCATTTTTCTTTGGCGTTGCTTCCCCGCAAGTTTCTTAGCTGGTTTCATATTTCCTGGAAAAAATGAAGATCAAATAAACATTTCAAAATGTTTGTTTCATTCAAATGTATAAAAAAACATTTCAAAAACATTATAAAAAAGGTGAGGGTGTTTTTTGCCTTTCTAAAAACTAAAAGGCATTGAGTATAGATATAATCAATAAATTTACAGACCTTCTCTGTCAACCAGAAAAAAATTGTGTCTCAGATTTATATATTTGATTAACTTTCCTATATAAGAGATGAAATAAAAAAAATATCAAATTTTGTTGAAAAAATTATGCATTTAGAATTGGTACTAATAAAAACAAGGAAAATCTTAAGCTATTCACCCAAGAAGATGAGATGCAAACTGGCCTTGATTCACCCAAGTCCCAAACGAACCTCTACAAGCTTTGACCAATCCCTTCAACTGCCCAGGAGGAGGCTTTCCAATCATAATTTATAATAGAGCTCTAGAGGAAGAGTCAACCTCTAACTCCCTATAACCTTTCACTCAGACCAAAGGGCTGCTAATAAAGCCATTGTAGCTACCTGCAATACTCAAGAGCAACACTAAGAGCAATACCCTTCAGTGCATTCATCATTCATAAAGGTCTGGGCAAAATTAAGCTTTACTTTCTAGCAGCAGGATCTGCTTTAAAACTGTATAAATTTGGAGCCTTCAATTTACTCATCCACCTAGTTGATAGAACAATACGACTTTCAAAGAAACCACCAAATTAAATAACTCGAGGTAAAAGTGTAAAACCATTATATTGTCCTACTAGAGTAGGGTTGATCACCAACAACCTGTCTCTCATCTTCCATGCAATATCAGTCTTCCCATGGTATGCATTTGTTGACATATTGTGTCAGATTTAAAACTGATAAATATTCAGATTTAATTACATAACCCAAAATTGAACTAATCACTTAAAATTCAACTAGTGAACAACTATAAACTAATCAACTAATAACTTAAAAAATAAGCAGAACACAACATTAACAAAGAAACTATGTCAGTACCCAAAATCCAAAAATTTATTTAATTAAGAAATCAACTAATCTCGACGTCAACAAGGGCCGAAGGCAGAACAAATCAACCTAAAACAATCAACAATTATGATTTATGAATACGATTATATGAATTAATTAACAAATCAACCAAGTATTTATCAATAACTATGAAATATGAGGTAATCGATAAAAGAGTTAAAGAGGAGTACTAGAACTCACAGAAGCAAGGAGGCGTGGGGCGCACCAGAAGGCCTGGCACTTCAAAAATACATACAAATTCAACTTCATACAAACATAAACATCAATACTTATTTCATAAATTCAAACAAATACTTCGTATTATTTTTTTGTAAAATGATAAACAAATAAAGCAAACTATTTGAAATTATGATAGTTTGGGGGAATAAACCTCTAATTAGTGAAGAGGAGGCGTCAATAAGCAAGAGGTGGAAGAGGACCGGAGGGGGCGAACATGAAGAAGCGGCAATTGAAAGTGTAGTGGTCACTCCACTTCGGGCGGCGACTGTAGCATGTCCCGAAGAACTGGAGGAGCGGTGATGTCCGATTGATGTTGGTAGGCAGACGACGGCTCTGTGCTGCTGGGAGATGGCGGTGTGCTGTTGAGAGACGACGGTGTGCTACTAAGAGAGGGGCGGCGGCCACTTGGGCAGAACGGTGCTTAGGGAAGCTTGTGGAATTTGTAGTGTAGGAAAATGCCCAAGTACTAAAGAGTAAATAAGTTCCACACAATTGTTGTGGTCAGTGTTCGTCCGCATCACATAGCTTAATATCTGTATACATATTGCCACGGTCCTAACTTAAACCGTAGCAAAAAGCTAACCGGAAAGGCTATTTGCTTCGGGTTCTCTTTGACCGCAGCTATAAATACGAAAAAATGTAGTTAATTGCTACGGTTCGTTAATAACCGCAGCAAATAAGGAGCAGCAAATGAAAGAAATTCTAGTAGTGACATATACAAACATCACATATGAATAATAAATCGGAAATAGAATAACTTTAACTCTAATACTAACCTGTTTATTGCAACAGCCTCAGAGAACTCTTTCCTCTAAGCTATTTACTATTTCAAGGATCCATGTCCATCTCCTTGCCCATTTCATCCGAGTTGTGTGATCGTTCCATGATAATCAATGAGTTGCTGATAATTGAGAGATTAAGATGACATGAGAAAAAAAGATTGTTCAAAGACATAGTAGAAGAAGAGTATGGTGAGGGGATGAAGGGTTCAATTTGAGCGGGAAATGAAGATTGAGAACGTTTAGGGTTGGGTTGTATCTTTATGAAACAAAGTCATATCATCGTATGGGAGCTGGGCTGAGACCGTAACGGAATATTAACTCCGTTTCATTTAATCTATTCCTATGAACATGTTTGAAGATTTGGATTATTCCTATCAATTTGTGAAGTATGGATTATTATTGTAGAATGTTAAGAAGTATGGATTAATTACATGAATTTCGCCTTAAAATATCCATCAAGTGTGTAGAAGGTAACCGTGACTTGTCCAAGACTCTAAGTATGAGAACTGGTCTTGAGTTGAAACACCATTTGGAGAAGCAAACCATGGAGATTAAAGCTGAGGAAATTCGCAAAATGCGATAATTAGGGCACCAAAATACGGGAGTCGGAACTCCCAATTCCGACTACGGGTAGGTTTATTTTTTTCGGTAGAGCCCTTGTAGTCGGATTTACCAATTCCGACAAGTAATTGATATAAGCACATTATTTTTAATTATTTATTGTTGGCCACCGAACTAGATTAAAAGCAAGTTGGCCACGGAACTAGATTAAAAGTAATTGAATGGTTGAACTATTGGCAAAAGCTTGTAAGTTGTAATCGGCCAATGTTTTTTTCATAAATTAAACTAGTATAGAACCCGTGCATACGCACGGGGAATAACGGTTGGTGCATCTGCTTTTACCATCATCTAATTAAATATGAAAAACGGTTGGTGCATCTGCTTTTACCATCATCTAATTAAATATGAAAGATAAAGAACTTTTAAAAATTTTACATTTTAAAAGATTAAAAGTACATAGAATATATGTTGAGGAAAACTAAATAAATGAGACCATTCATTTGAATTTAATTTGCTACTTTTTACTCCCTCAGTCCCAAATTGTAAGATACATTTACTATTCACTCGGTCAACATAAATCACTCTTAATCTTTTACTTTATATATCAAAAGTTTATGAAATTGGAATTATTTTTTGCAGGTTTTGTAGCGGTTTTAATGTAGTTTCTGAATATGTAAATTTTATTTTCTAAAAATAATTTGAGTGTTGATAGGGATCAATTTGCTTTATCGTCGGTCAAACATCGTAAACCGTAAAGTATCTTACAAATTGGGACGGAGGGAGTAGTTAGTATTGTCGATAACATATACTCTCTTTGTTTCATTTCAATGTTGTTTTCATGTGGTTTATGATATTTGATTTACCATAAAGTTAACTAATCTCTGTCAATAATAAGATTATTTTTAGAAAATAAAAATTACATATTCGTAAACTACGTTAAAAAATTTATAAAGTCGCAAAATAAAACTCATATATGATCAAAGTTGGATGTGTGTGTGTGTGTATGTATGTATGTATGTATGTATGTATGTATGTATGTATGTATGTATGTATGTATGTATGTATGTATGTATGTGTGTGTGTGTGTGTATGTGTGTATGTGTGTATGTGTATGTGTATGTATGTATGTATGTATGTATGTATGTATGTATGTATGTATGTATGTATGTATGTATGTATGTATGTATGTATGTATGTATGTATGCATGTATGTATGTATGTATGTATGTATGTATGTATGTATGTATGTATGTATGTGTGTGTGTGTGTGTGTATGTGTCTCTCTCTCTCTCTCTCTCTCTCTCTCTCTCTCTCTCTCTCTATATATATATATATATATATATATATATATATATATATATAAAGTAAACAATTATGAACAATTTACGTTGACAGGAGAATAGTGAACGTTGAACATTTATATGGGGCGAAGATAGTAATAAAGTATTAAATTTATACTCATAAATTTTGGAAAACTTCTTTTAACGACAACATTTGGGATAGTGTGTAATGAATGTTGGGTGTGTTTCGGAAAATAAAGAAAATTAATTAAAATTAATTAATTAATAAATGACAAGAGAAAACAAGAAAGGAGATGAAGCAGAATTTGTCAAAGCTCGTGCTACGCACGATGTCCTTAAAACGTATTTGTTGCCTCCCACGGTGCTAGGAGCGTTGCAACAATAGTTTCCCAGGATACGATGACCACGAACTAATGTTTGAGCACACAAACAAGAGTTCCAACGAACGAGAACAAAGACTGAACACAAAAGGAATTTTCTGAATGCTGGAGGGTGTTTTTGAGGTGCAAAACGTGAATGGAGTGTCTAAATTCGTGTGTTGTTGCAAACCACCTGCCAGCCATTATATAGGAGGATTTTTTGTATGAAAATAGTGACTTAATGGACCTGAACGTTGGACATCAATGACCAGTCCGATGGGCATTGAATTGTCCATGAACTATCCATTTAACATTGCATTAAAAGATATAAACGTTGGGCATTTATTGCTGTAACGGTTCAGAAGCCATCAGAAGACCTCTACGTAGTTCTGCCCGAAGGCCATCAGAACTGGAGCAGTTCTGATGCACGGTCATCAGAACCAGAGCATCTCTGCCTGAAGGCCATCAGAACTGGAGCAGTTCTGATGCGCGGTCATCAGAACCGGAGCATCTCTGCCCGAAGGCCATCAGAACTAGAGCACCTCTGGTCGTGGCCTTCTGCCCGGAGCAATTCTGTCAACTTGGGAAAAATTATACGTTTCGGGAAGAAAACAAAAATTACCCGTATCTCTTGAGAGATGGATTTTTGGACGGCATTCGTGTCCGCAGGTCGCCCGCGCACGCAAGTCGCGGTTTTTCTTCTCCGAATTCGGGATTTGATTTGCACCCCCCCTGCGCGCGTGGAGAGAGCCTTTACCCTTAAGAATCTTAACTCCATAAGGGGAGAGTCCCTTTATAAAGGGTTGCAAATCCCTTGGGTTTTCCGGTGTGGGAAGTTAACACACTAGAAACTCATCCTTTTTCCCAGTTTTTCCATTCTAACGGGTAAACTTCGAAAAGCGATTTCTCATTCACCCGTTATCCATTTTGAGCGTACCATATATCGAATTGTAGCCCTGAACAAGGACAATCCGAAACCACTTTGACCCGACTCAAATCGGAAGTGGACCCCACTCAAAAAATTGCCCCAAAATAGCCATTTAATACAATTTTTCACACATTTTTCCAACAATCCCCCACATGAATGAAAATTGATTTTCGAGACTTACAAAAAGACACGAAGATAGGAGGACACGTTGTGTTCACCGGATGATCCTTGTATACGGAGAGGTAGGTTTAATCCTTTGAACCTTCTGCTGTAAAGACTCGTTTATTTACTGGCTGTCTAGTAGACTCGATGTCTTTGAACTATACTGCCGTCGTGTAAACATTGACTTATCTTTACACAAGAACCTTCCAACTTTGTTCCGTTCTCATGGGTGTGCCCGTTTTGGCCATGGGTCACCGTCCTGGTTCTGCAAGAGTTTCTAAAGAACTGAGCCTTTACAGTTCTCCTTTGAAGCGGCCCTCTTCTCTCTCACATAGGTGATTCTTTCACGAGTATCCCGCATACTCTTCCAATGTTATCGAGTAGATCAACATTTTAGAATCATTAAAGCAAACGTTTTTGCTAACCTCGTGCGGGAGTCACTGTTTTAACGAGGAGTGGGTAGGACTCCGGGACCCCCACAGTGACCATCCTTCGCTCTATAATTTAGTTGTCCCATTTGAACCTAGGACCAACTAGGTTGGGTATCCACTATAGAACTTTTCAATTTACGGGCTTTAATCCCATTCCTCGTGTCAACTTCTCCAACAATTCTCTATCCAATGCCTTGGTTAGCGGATCCGCTATGTTATTCTTTGACTTCACGTAGTCAACAGTGATAACACCCGTTGTGAGAAGTTGTTTAATGGTATTATGTCTACGACGGACGTGTCTAGACTTACCATTATAGAGATTGCTCTGTGCCCTTCCAATTGCCGCTTGACAATCGCAATGTATGCATATTGGAGGGACAGGCTTCTCCCAACTTGGAATCTCCTCGAGAAAATGGCGTAGCCATTCAGCCTCCTCAGTGCACTTATCCAAGGCTATTAGCTCAGATTCCATCGTGGATCTAGCTATCAACGTTTGTTTCGAGGATTTCCACGACACGGCTGCACCTCCCAAAGTGAAAGTGTATCCACTTGTGG